CCTGTGCACGGTGGCTCTGGATGTTTCTACTCCAGACTCAGTCCACTGCTTCCGCAGGTCCCCCAAGGTCTGGAATCGGCCCTTCTCCACAATCCTCCTCAGGGTCCGGTCACCTCTTCTCGTTGTGCAGCGTTTTCTGCCACACTTTTCCCTTCCCACAGACTTCCCACTGAGGTGCCTTGATACAGCACTCTGGGAACAGCCTATTCGTTCAGCAATTTCTTTCTGTGTCTTACCCTCTTGCTTGAGGGTGTCAATGATGGCCTTCTGGACAGCAGTCAGGTCGGCAGTCTTACCCATGATTGAGGTTTTGAGTAATGAACAAGGCTGGGAGTTTTTAAAAGCCTCAGGAATCTTTTGCAGGTGTTTAGAGTTACGTCGTTGATTCAGATGGTTAGGTTAATAGCTTGTTTAGAGAACCTTTTCATGATATGCTAATTTTTTGGGACAGGCATTTTGGGTTTTCATGAGCTGTATGCCATAATCATCAGTATTAAAACAATTAAAGACCTGAAATATTTCAGTTGGTGTGCAATGAATCTGAAATATAAGAAAGTTTCATTTTTATCATTACATTATGTAAAATAATGACCTTTATCACAATATGCTAATTTTTTGAGAAGGACCTGTAAATTGGGGCGTTCCATTCCATGAGGGCAGAAGAGATCCCCATTGTGACATGTCGGACGGACACCTCAGCGTTGAGCTTGTAATTTTTCCTGCCTTACAAACATTAAATGGTAAAAATAATTTACCTCTCTTGATTTTATTGAGTTGGTGTGAGTTTCCTCTCCAAATGGGAACAAAAAGAACTGGAAGGGCACCATGGATGGACAGCAGACAATCTGAAATTTAATTTTTGCTTGAAGTTAACTGAACACCAGGAATGCCACTCTGTACTGCCTGGGAGGCATTAAAGGCCTACTACCTGTGGGGTCAAATAATTTCTTATCGTGCAAACAAACAAAGAAGGGTTTGGTACGGCTAAAACAGATAACGGATGAACTATTACAATTAGACAGAGCACATGGCCACACCCCTTCACAGGATCTAATGAAAAAACATTTGTAACTCCAAACTGAATTTAATAATGTAGTGAACTTAACCTGATGTCAAAACTAAGCCTAAGGTCAAAACCCTTGACCTTAAGAACCTTGTGGGACAGAAACCGTCATTTCATTGATTTGAATCCAGAAATACAGGTTCACCCATCCTGAGACTTTCTTTCTTGAAAATCAAGTGAAAGAACACTCTCTTTTTATTATCATTACTATTTTACAAATGTTGATAATCAAAGTGTCTTAGTTCAAACCATTTTAGATGTTGCAGTGAACTAATCAATTTTATTAACTGTGAAACAGTGTAATGATTTTTTAATCCTCATGCAAAGTTAGAATTCATGTTAAGGCCTGTTACAGAGTAATCATGTATTTTCTGATTTCTGTCTTTGAATGAGCAAGTGTAAGTTTTGTCCAAGGTCGGAGTCGAAGCAGACATGTGTCTTGTTTTAAAATCCTCTCAGACGTAAACAGAGGAGTTGGCACCTGTTTCTCCAAACTCGCCAAAATATCTCTCTCGCCTGTCTGAGAACAGTTTAATCTGTTCCATAACAATTCTTGCTGTTTTCTGACTTCTAGTAACCTCTTAAATCACAAAACACACCCCTGTCTGGTTGATGTGGACCAATCAGGGACGCTCAAATATACCGGAAATAGAGCTCTTTAAAATGCCGGTACTTCCTAGTTCTCTCAGTTCGGTGAGGCGCTGAGAAGTTCTGAGATGTTCGCAGTTCTGTGAAGTCGTTTGGGAGAACAGAAGTCCAGCCATGATAAGGCTCTTCCGAGTTGGATTATAACATCTTCCACCTCTGAGTGGAACTTCTGAAGGACTCCCCTCATGTGAAGTCCACTTGCTGAGGTGAGCTTGTGTCGGACGGAATCTCGTCACTACTTCGGACGAGTCACAGCCATCCTATGGAGACGCTGGACAGGTAGCGTTAACCGGAGCTCCTCTTCTTCTGATCCATCATCAGAGAGGTAATGAGTCAAGTTTCCTACCAAGCGTACCGAGGAAAAGCTGGGTTCGAATGGAGAGTGTCGGTTCTGGTCAACACTCCCCCTCACACACCATCTTTTACTCCCTTTAAACTTCATTTCCATCTTTAAATCCTTCTATCAAGTAGAAATCCTTCCAGATAATTTAGAAATGTCTGTGTAAAGTGCTCATCCACCGCCGTGTGGATAATTGATCATAATTGTACAGTTTTCATAAATGTCTGTGGTGAAGCAACGGAAAATCATGGCCGTATGGTTTTCCTGGTTGTAAAGCTGATTGATTATGTTGTTATTTTCATATTTTGCCAAATTAATGTAAATGTTTGATGTTAAACTTTGATTCTGTAAAATAAATGACCGCATTCATTTTGATGGGTCAAAGAAAAATGACGTCTCACGTTACATTTCATTAAATTCAATGCACGTTTTATTCAGTCCAGAAAAATGAAGAATCCGTTTTAATTGATGAATATATCTCAGCATCTGTTCATCTACAATAATTTGTCCACTCAGAAGGCAGAGTATTTAATCTCTAAATCTAGACAGGTTTACTATGAATATGATGAAAGGGCTGGGCGACTGCTTGCAAATCAGCTGCGGCGACAATCAGGCAATCAAACTATTCCAGTAATAAACGACGACCAGGGAGCTGCATGTCACGACAATGCTGGAATTAATAAGTTTTAGTAAATTTTACAAGTTATTTCCAAAAAAGTTCAGTCTGGTCCTCTGGACATTCAAAAACAAAAAACAATAAACAAAACAAAGCAAAAAAATATAGAAATGTTTCGTCTCTCATCCAAGAGACTTCCTCAGTCTGAGGTGCTGTATTCAGCTCAGTCTCTTAAATAGCACCTTCTCAGAGTGGATCAACCAGTTTGCTGCTGACAACCAGAACCAGCTGATCACATGCTCAAGAAGGACCATCAGCCTAACAATGGATCATTAGCACACTGATGGCTGTTTACTACTCACAGAGGGCTGAGTGATACTAGCAATCACAGCATTGTAAGAGGGGGACAGTTGAACCCGGAGGCCTCCACCCCTGTTTAATGATGGACGATTTCTTTTCACAAAGATGGCCTCCTTTACTCCTCTCTCAAACCATCGTTCCTCTCTGTGAACATCTTCATCCTTGAAAGAGTGACCGCTGGCCTGGAGATGAGTGTAGACCGCAGAATCCTGGCCTGATGATGTTGATCTTCTGTGCT